AGTAAAAAAATTTTTTTGTAGATGTTTTTGTAAGATGTAAAATTTTGTAGAAATTTTTGTAAGGTGAAAAACTTTTTTTTCCTTTTCTTTTTTTTTTTCTCTTTCTTTTTCTTTCTTTCCTTTTTCTTTTCTTTCCTCTCTTTTTCTTCTTCTTTTCTTTCCTCTTTTCTTTTCTTCTTCCCCTTCCCCCTTCCTCGTTACCTCCCAGCAGCAACCCCCTTTCCCCCTTCCCCCGTCCCGCCCACTGCGCTGCCTTTCCCCCTTCCCCCACCCACTGTCCTCTGCCCTGCCCTTCCCCCGCCACCCCTCTGCACTTCCTTTCCCCTGCCCACTGCCCTCCCTTTCCCCCTTTCCCCGCCCACTACCCTCTGTCCTGCCCTTCCCCCGCCACCCCTCTGCCCACCCTTTCCCCTTCTCCTCTCCTCTGGCCTTCCCCTGCAGCCCAGCCGCACCAGATGCTCTAGCAGGCCCAGGCTCGCGACCAGACGCAGCCCAGGCTCGCAACCCAGCCGCAACGCGCGTGCAGGATGGGGGACGAAACGGCGGTGGTGGTCGGCACCGGCGGTGGTGGTGGGTTGGGATAGGGGAGGAAGAAGGAAAAAAGGGAAGGGAATTTTTTTTGGTGTGTTTTGGATATTTTGAGGTGTGTAGTTAAAAAATTTTGAGAAGTTTTTTAGAATTCCTGTAGCAAAAGTTGTTAAAAAACTAGTAGGTAAAAAAACTTGTCCAAAAAATTAGCTTCCAAACAGGCCCTTTGTTTTCACGGTAACATTGCTTATATTGGAACCTCAGGCCCCTCAATCAACCACCAAAGTTTTGAGAGTTCGATATACTCGATTTCTTATCTGGATACTGTCTCTTCATTCCCATATCTAATTTTTAGATAAAAAAATTCACTACAAAGTACTTTAACTAGACATGGAGGGGAAATATGGAATTCAAAAAGAGAGAGAGAAAAAATTGAATGTATCTGCTTCACAGCCAATTTTCAGATAAAATCCAAAAAAGTTCCTAAAGTACAAAGGGGTTATATGAGGGTTTTTTTAGGTAATGGGGGAATATCATGATCGAACCCCAAATCACAAGTACGTCTTCATATTTTACTCTTCTTAAAAGCATAATGAAAGAACTATAGGTGTCTATTTTCCTCTACTACTCTTTAAGTCATACTATAATCTAATGGCATACTTTATGTTTCTATACTAAGTCAATCAAGTTATTTCTTACCCCTCTGCCCAAAGCAAACAAAAAAAAAAAAATTTATGATAAAAAGGCAAAAAAAAAAAAAGAAGGAGCAAAAGATGATTATGTTAGGATTTAACTTGATAATCCTTTTCTGTCATCGAGAATATAGATGATAACTGCTAAGTGATTATACTACATATGTGCTATTCATTAAGATTTAGGCTCTGCTTGATAGATCAGTTTTTTACCAAGTTTTTGTTATACAAATTTTTAAACAATTTTGTCTATAGTAACATCTAAAAGTACCAAAAATTTAAAGCGCACCCAAAAACATGCACTTATTTTTCACTTCTACCTCCACTCTACCATTTCACCTACTATCTCCTTTTTTTTTTTTCTCTCCTCTCATCTTTCCTCTTTTTCTTCTTTCTCCTTCCCTCATCATCTTCTTATTTTTTCTCCTTCTTTCCTACCATCACCCATTTTCTCCTCTTTTTTTTTTCCCTTCCATTCTCTCATCTGCCCACTTCTCCTCCCTCCCCCACGACCTTTGCTCTCTTCTCCTGCTTTAATCTAAACTAGATTTGGTCAAGATCGGGCCATGAGAAAAGAGCGGGAGTCACAGGAATGAGGGAGGAAAGAAAGGAGGACAAAAAGAGGGAAAATGAAGTAAGAAAGTAAAAAATGAAAAAATAATATTAGTCACTGTTTTTTTTTTTTTTTGTGAAAACTAAACTAAAAATGGAATCTGCGTGAAAATTTGTATACTTTTAGTAAATTTTGGTGAAAGGAGGAGGTGGCAGCCAATGATAGTCGGCATAGTACCATCAACAGAAACTCTATAGCTATTGCTATATAAGCAAAGAAGAAGAAGATAAGAGGAAAGAATGATGGGAAAAAAGAAAAAGAAAAGGAAAAAGAAAAGAAAGTTTTTCAAATTTTCTATTTCAAATTTTCTAAACCTAAATACACAAAAGTATTTCTATAAATTCTTCTGTATGTTACAGTAAAATTTTATACACATACTCCGCAAAATACACATTCCAAATGAACCTAATTCTACAAAAAATTGTGCTATAAAAAATAATTAGCCTATTGTATCTCGATTTTACTGCTTAATTAGTTATATTGGCAAAATATTTTGTATTTTTCATAAATTGATCATACTAGCAATTATTATGGTTCAACTAGCTTTTATACTACAAATGTGAGTGTACTGTAAAAAAGGTTGTTTTACAATACTAAATCTCAAGATTTTGATACCGTTCATTGAAAAAAGTATTTCAATAATTGAGAAGTTGTTCATTTCTCATTTTGGCAATATAATCTTTTTATACTCATGAAATTATTCATCGTTTTTGCACTAGAAATCTTTTTTCACTAATTGTTGTGCGAAAAGGATGTATACAGTGATCAAGAAAATATTTAGCACTGTCAAATAGCAAACATGCACTATAATTCTACAAAAACTGCTCTACAGCAAATAAGTGAATTTTTGTTTCTCGATTTAGTTGTTGAATTAGTTGTACTCATAAAATTTTTACATGTTTCTATAAATTGATTGCTCAAAAATAGCAATTACGATGATTCACTTAACTTCTACACTACAAATATAAGTGTACTATCAAAAGATAGTTTTGTGGTGCCAAATCTCAAGATTTTGGTACTGTTCATCAAGAAAAGTATTTACATAAATGAAAAATTGTTCCTTCCTTATTTTGATAACATAATATTTTGTGCTCATGAAATTATTCCCAATTTTCGCACTTGAAATCTTTTTTCTCTAATTGTTGTGCAAAAAGAATGCATACGTCAAGTTGCAAACATGCACTGTGGCACTACTTGGGAGACCAATTTTTTGCCTAGTTTTTATTATACAAGTTTTTAAATAATTTTGTATATATTTACCTCTAAAAATATCTCAAAATTTTTAAAATACACACTTTTTGCCTCTTTTCCGTCATATTCTTCTCCTCCTTTCTCTCTCTCGCCGCCATCCTCTTTCTCCCCTCTTTTTTTCCTTCTCTTCGGTTGACCACCAACAATGGCACCGTTCGCTAAAACTCCATAGTTGTTATTGTGTGAGCAAAGGAGGAAGAAGAAGAGAGAAAAGGAAGGATAAAAAATTAAAAGGAAAAAAAGGAAAGTTTTTCAATTCTTTAAACCTCAATGGACACAAATTTTATAATAAGTTAAAATAAAATTTTAAATAAATATCCAAAAAACACACTTTCCAAAAGGAACTTAATTTTGATGAGGGAATACCAATAGATAATTCGATAGAAATTAGCAAAGATCTTACCTTAAAAAAAAAAAAGTACCGATACTTGAACATAGAATTTGTGTAGGCCACTAACTAATTAATGCAAAACTTAAATACAATAGATTTCTGGGGTCAATCCACGAGACCACCACTCTCATTTTTTAGTTTTCCAGTAGTGCATAACATATCATAGCCCAAACCCTTATGTGTTAATTATCTTTTTTTTTTTTTTTTTTGTTTAGGTTCTTATAATGATCATCATCACTTCATGGTCTAGAGCTAGGAAAAAAAACACATTATTTCATCTTAAGGGATTTTTGCGGCACTGAGTGAGTCTTTTTTCATTATGACCATTTCTACATTGTTCTTAAGGTGACGTTTATAGGGATAATTTCAAAAACCTCCCTCAATCAGAAACCTCCCCCAAAGTTTTTGATATTTCATTTAGTACCCTCAAAATTCCAAAAATTACACTTACCTCTATTGATTTGACATTTTAATAATCAAACCTTAAAATAAGGTTATATATGATCGCTCTATTGATTTGACATTTTAATAATCAAACCTTAAAATAAGGTTATATATGATCGGTTAGATGAATATTAGGTGCATTAACAGTGATCCTATAGGCATTCATTAGAAAAATTCAAAGTTTAATTTATTCTTTTAAACAATTGTAAAGTAATTTGACATAATTTATTCTTTTTTTTTTTGTCCTGTGAAAATCTTTCCAAGTTTCACAACATTTTATTGATATAAATTAGAGGTGCAAACGAGTCAAATCGATCCCGAACAGTGTTATGCTTGAGCACAACTCGATTGAGTTTAAAATTCAACATATGAAATTCAATTCACTAAGATCTTTGAAATGCTCGAATTCAACTTGATTGGAGTCGAGCAAACTCGAGCTCGAGCCCAATCGAGCTCAAACTTGAGTTCGACATATTGAGATCGATTAAAAAGGAGGCATTTTGGAAATTTACAAGAACTCAATACCTTTATATGTAATTTACTATACACCAATAAATATATATATATATATATATATATATATATATATATATATATATATATATATATATATATATATATATATACATACTGCTCGATAACGCTCGACGAGCAATCGAGCTTAACTAAAAATGATTGATTTCAACAAAGAAATCAGAATTAAATCACTAACCCTTAATCGCAGGTAAACCTCAAAAGCCGGTAACTCTTGAGGCCACCCAAAGAACTAATAATCTAACCCCAAACCCCCCCCCCCCCCCCCCAATTAACTAAAAATGATTGATACTCAGCTCGTTTGAGTAAACGAGCCGATCAAGATCGACTCAAACTCGATTAATACTGAGCTGAGTCAATCGTTTGATCGATTAACTCGCAAATCGCTCAGTTCGTTTGCACCCCTAATTCAAATGCATTTTACGATGAAAACAAAATAAAAATAAAAGGTACTTCAAACTTTTTGCGTAGATGAACTGCGCAGCCATCATCAAGGAAATTGCACACAGCCATCATCAAGGAACTCCGGAGGGAAAGGGGAAGAAAGAGGAGGAAATAGTCGGTTTGAAGAATTGTCTGATGCTTTTTAAAAATCATCTGATACGTTGATCTGATGAAGTTCCCTGATTCACAGTCTGTTGTCTCTGGGTTTTGGAGGCAAAGAATTTATTTAACAGCAACAGAATCATCATATAATCCATTGCTCTGCCTAGCAATCAGTAAATGGTTTTCAGGAGAGATACCGGGTGGAACATACTTTACAACTTGAGAGTGTAATCCACGCTCCTTGAGCCACATCAATCTTCCAGCATCAATGATATCCTTACACATGAATCCCACCACTGCCCTCTCCACAGCGCTCATATTCCTAACAACGTCTCCCACTCCAGACTGACTTAATTCTGCTCCAATCTCTTCCTTCTCACTGTTTAAAAAAAAAAAAAAAAGATCAAAGAAGCTTGTTAAAACAGAAACAACACATCAATTCCATCCACGAGAGGAAAAGAAGAGGTGCGTCATTAACAGAATATTTGGAAAGATGATAAATAAAAAAGCTATATCATGATGTAACTATCAAACAAGCAGTACGCTCCAAGTATGCGTAAAAGATACATATTTCATCAAACTGCAAAGTCAGCAATACATGATGGGAAGGCATATTAAGATATGTAGTAACATATTATTTTTAGTATGATATTTCATTTACGCTCATCCCCATTGAATTAAGAGTGGATCTGTAGGTGTTTTGAATGAAACCATTGCATCCACACCTCCCATTCCACCAGACAATCCATAGTGCAAAAAAAGAATAGGAAACAAACAAATAACAAAAAGTTTCATTCTGTACTTGAGACATAGATTCGGCGAGCTGTCAACGACAAAAATGTCTGATCCATGGTCTGCATCAACTGCCCAGCTAGTAAGCCATGTCATTGCATGGAAATCTTCCTTGGTCAAACCGAGATTCAATATGTAGTTCTTATCTGCAATACAATCCAGCTCTGATCTCATGAAAAACTAATCAAGCCAAATAAGTGCAGATCGTGTAGAAACAATGCTCCATTTATTTGTAGAGAAGGGCCAAAGAAATTACTTATGTAGTGTTTCCACTGACAAAGATGATGACAGCACGTAGCTATAGCGAGACCTCTGAGGAAACAACTGGCTTTCAACTGATCAGCATGATTTTGAGCACTTTGTTCCAATATGCAACACTTCAACGTCATATCTTTCCCACCACAAAAAAAAAAGGATGAGTAGAAAAGGAAAGTGGTACTTAAGAGGTAAAATGACCAGAGTCATCAAAATTCCAAGTTCCAATTGCAACGTTTATTACCTGTTGCCGGCCCACAAAGATGTTTACCAATTGCCAAATAAGGAACCCCTTGCAAAGACTCGACAGCATTCAAGTTCAAATCTTCAACTGCAAAAGTAAGTATTATGTGATAGGGAACTAGAATGCTTGAAATTTTAAGTGGAAAAAAAATGCATACCTTAATTTTAGAGACTTGTAACAATAAATTTTTAGTGGAAAGTACACGACTTTCTATGTTCCATTAAACTAGGAAGAGAAATATAAGGAAAACAAATAGAAAGCATAAACTTCTCCGAATCAGACATGTTTGTAATTGAGATATTGACAACACTCATGGGAAATTAAAAAAAAAAAAGTCTCCTGCAGAGAGGAGCCACTACTGTTGTCACTCATCCTAAATGGAAAATTCGATATCATTTCAAAGAATAGAGAATTTTTTTTTTTAAAAAAGAGAAAAGATTCACCGATCCATAAGCATTCCTAATTCCTCCATGCCAAATATAACAAAACATAAGTAGGGAGAAGGCAACCGATTTCAAAGTGAAGCAATATACTGATAGTTTCATCCTATACAGGCAAAGCTTGTTTCGTTTACAAAAGCAACTGATTGATGGCAACCGTTCAGAAACAATATGACAACTTATGCAGCAACAGGAGGGAAATCATTGGTCTTAGTAAAAATATACTCACACTATTGTCAACTCAGCATGAACCAGCAGTACAAGGAGACGAAGCAATAAAAGACAAAAAAGACAAAGCAGTAAACAAGAGTTGTAAAAGGTTGATGTGGGAAAAGCAGAACAAATGGGAGAAAGTTATATGAAATGTGAGAGAGAGAGAGAGAGGGATGAAAAATTGAACAACAGCATTGCAAAGAACCTTACTATCGATCCTCAAGCGCTCCAACAACAGGTTCTCTATTTGTCTCAAACTTCGATCAGCCTAAAAGTAGCAAAGATCACAAACAGCACGGATGGAAAGAGCGTCAAACTAATAAGGAGGTGAAATGAGCTAGTGAAGCTTGAGAATAACATGAGCTGGGAAAAAAATCTAAATTACTGTTATTATTTTCTATAGGGGACGGACAGGTGATTGACCTTAAGCTTGTAGGACTTGCGCTCAACCAAAAGCACTTTTTTAATCCCGTAGCAGTCAGCAAGCAATTGGGTCAGGTAACCCCTCCCAGCTCCAAATTCCACGACAGCAGGAACATCAACATCGCTGCGGTCTAGAGTCCTCGCATCAATTACAGCATCCTCTACACCAGACTTGGGCAACAGTCCAAATTCTTCCAGGTTACCAAGGATGGAGGCCTGCTGCAAAACATGTTTCTCTTGGAAGGGTAACTTCCTACAATCGAAAAAAGAGCACTCCACCCAGCAGTAGGGTAAAGAAATAAGTACAAGGAGTAACTTTATTCGTTTATGCTAGTACTATTTATTCATCTATTTGTTTAATTTTTTCATTTGGGAGAGTCAAAGGGGGGGGGGTGTTGTACCGATCGATTTGTCTACGAGTAGACCAAACAGCACAAGCTTGAGGAATCTTGAAAGAATCTTGAATGCGGGTATTATCGGAGAGGGATGCATGAATGCTCTTGATTTTGCGGATCAAGTCACAGAATTCAGGGACAGTCTTGTTGTAGACAGCTCGTCTCTTCATATGTGAAGCAGTAGCAGTATGATCTTCATCGATGCCTCCGCCGGCATTGATGCCCTTTTGGTAATAGGGTTGGAGGGAGAGAGACTGAGCTTGTTTGAGGGAAGGGCATCTGGTAAGGTGATTTTCAAGATTATGCTGGAGTACGGAGCTACGAGGGAGGGAGGAAGGAAGAGGGAGGAAAAAACAATAACAGAATCAGGAAAACACAACACAGGTAGAGTCGACGGATAAAATGAAAGTAATAAAAGTACTGAATGAGAAGCTAAAAGATAGTATTGGTTAAGAGTTTACTGAGAAGGGTCAAGGGGGCATTGAATCCATTGGTGATTGGACCTTTGCGTGTGGTTGCCGCAGAAACTGAATCAGAGCCACCAGAGATAATGGTCGTGTTACTTGCTAGTATTACTGATGAATGGAGTATCTATTAAGAGTAGACAAAAAGGCTTTGCAAGTAGGAGAAGAAGGAAAAAAGAAAAAGAAAATACTGCTACCAAAGAGAGAGAGAGAGAGAGAGAGAGAGAGAGCTTACGAGGAATTAGGGAGAGGAGCATTGGCACAGAGTCTATTCTTCTTTGGGAGCCGAAACTGGCAGCGCTCACTCTTCAAATCCACCATCAATCATCAAAGGGCAAGGCTACCATCATGTTTGTGTTTTGGATACTACTATTTATGTTTGTCCGCTCCTCTTATTGCTTTTCAAATGCACCATTCTCCGGCGGCGGCGGTCCCGGGAGGGTTTGGTGTGTGTTGCAGCATCGTCTCTGCAGTTTTGGGACATGCATTGGGCCTCCTCTACGCGTTTGGGCCACTAATAACCAACTGCTGACACTTGGTATAGTAGTACAAGTGCACTTCTTCATCTGTGTATACTTTGTACATCCCACCCCACATCCGCCAAGTGGGTTGGGTGGGGTTTTAGTTTGCCGGCCCTGTAAGGAAAGGGTCCTGTCTGTCCTTAGAGTAGTACTGTAGTATCTTGTCTTCAAGTTGAAGGAGCTCTGGAGGGAGGGTTCCCAAAACGATTGAAATTCTAGGCTTCAAGTTCAACAGTGTAATTTTTTTCCACATGGTGCGCAATTCAAGTTTGTCATCTTGCTTTACGCTACTGTCAACAAATATTTGGGGTAACGCAAGACAGTTTCTTATTTCCCTTCATGTGTGCGTTCGAGGAATTAGCTGCGGCTCATCTCATGTACTTCATTCATAGATTTTTTTTCTTTTTAAATAATCACGCGCACTTTTTTGCCCTATTCCCTTCCGTCCAATATTTTATTTACTTACCACCCATTTGGTTCAAGCTCCGAAATGGCAATAACCATAACCCCTCAATGACAATGGGTTTTCCAGGGATTCCCTCTGGTGTAAACACATGTTTGGTAGTGATTGTGTTGCTATAGGAATCAACTTATTTTTAAATATTTATTTTCCTGCATCATCTTTGTGTCTCTACTGTTTGAAGAGAATCTCCCAACCTTTCTCTCAGTCTACACCAAGTCCTTCACGAATTGGTGATGATGGACTAATCTCAAGAAATTCCATGATCATAACTCAAATTTCTCATCCAATTTCATGCGATATGACAAATTAAACAAACCAAAACTTTCCGCTGATTTGAATATGGATTGGCAGCAAATTTGCCTTCCTCTGAAACTCATCATGGAGAGAGAGGAGATTTGCCTTTTTATGGATTGACAGCTGAGTTGTACAAGTTGCCTAAACAAATTTAAGTGCAAAAGCAGTAATGGAGAGAGAGGAGATTTGCCTATGAAACCCATCATGGCAGCAAATTTGCCTTCCTCTAATTCAAATATGGATTGGAAGAAGAGCAAGAGTAGTAATGGAGAGAGAGAGGAGAGGAGAGTGGAGTGTACATGGCGGAAGGAAAGGAGAGAGCAAAGACCGTAGGAGGCGAAAGGGAGAGAAGGATGAAGGTGAATTTGGTCCGGAATGGCGTTTGTCCACTTTTAGGTTTTCCATAGTGATAGATCCATACCTATAGGTACCAACCAAACATTATGTAAAGGACTTGACAACTTAAAAATCCGTTCCATAGTGGTGATTCCACCCAACCAAATGAGTGGTTATTTTTTTGAGTGCAACATTATGACAATTGATCCTGTACTGAAAGTAAGGAGAGGGGAATGGGCCTGTTTAACCTATTGAAAGGTTTGAAATAATCTATCTAATAAATTCTCCTGAGGATAAGGCATACTGCAGCCAAGGGGCGGGAAATTCTATTGAGAGGTTCCAAGTAACCTATCTAACAGATTCTCTTGAGGGCAAGGCCCCAAATGAATGGTGTCCGAAAACGAAGGGTGTCCAAATTTTTATGTCGGCAGTAGCTCTACGCTTTGCGGGAAACAGGTAAGAGAGGGCCGATGTAAATTGCATGGGTTTTGGGATGCCGGAAAGAGATGGCAGAAGAGTGTATCCTATCCTATCCTGCTATCAAACCTTCTCTCCATTCCCCCTTCTTAAAAACCTGGATCCGCTCTTTTTCCTGGCGCCACCCAGGACCTTTGTTGTTATAATGCCGGTTTAACTGATTGATTATGAAGTGCCCCCCAACCCCTAAGCAAGCTTCTAATAATTCAATAATATTGCTGTTACGCAAGCAGGCTGCAAATTTAGTAGTAGTATTACTTATTAGTCGTAGTATATATAACTGAAACATGTTCTTCAACACAAACCGTTTGTTGCGTATGCTACCACCGGAGCTAATACTTTTTATCTTCAAACTTTCTGGTGGGACAGAAAATGCTCCACCATTTTCCTTTGGTTTTCCGCAGAGGACAAATAGAATCTGGTCAGACCCAACTCATTGACGTAGCCAGGAGGTCCGGCCGTTAATTTTTTTGCTTCTTCTCAGCTGAAATCCTGCCATGGAAGATTGATGTTAGTTTCACAACAGATGCTCGACCGAAGCCCAGGTCTTTTCAAAAGTATTCACACAAAGGATTTTTGGTCTTAATATAATTAATTCATCTCCTTGAATCTCCCCTGCTGCGTTGAAAGTAGCAGTGTAATAAATTCTCCTGCATTTCAGACGCCATTCATTTCCAGGAATGTACTTTTTTTAATTAAGAAATAAACACCCAAAACAAACAAACCCACACACCTCAATGATATTTTGACTACTTCCTCGGAAACTAATACAACCTCAAGTATGTGTGGGGAAACATTCTTGAAAATATGGAATCTTTTCCTTTAGCTAGCAGCACGTATGATCCGTAGCAGGGAACGTGAACCAAAGCCAATGCAAGGTACCTGAAATTTAACAGACCCGATAAAACTTGACTTTAAGCCTGCCTTTTAAGAAAATGGCCAAATAAAAAATGCACAGTTGCTTTTACCAAATCGGTGCCCATGCATTCGACAGATCTAGGAAAGGATATGGCCACCTGTAAGATTGCTCTTACCATCAGACAACTCGGGAGCGGTTTCAAGATATATATATATTTTTTTTTTTATTTAAGGAAGAGAAGAGGGCCAAGCCAGAATTCTTTAGAAAGGGATTTTACCATGTAATGCAACATACATGAAGAGCCCACTGGAAAACAACATAAGAACTACTCCAAAGCACAAAGTATACGAAGCCAAACCACGAAAATGGCTGCAACAATTAAACAGCAAGCTCCATTCATTATGCCTAGGAAACAAAAACAGCTAAAAGAAATTCTCAGGAGTCTAGGACAGGTAAACGTCAGGGGCAAAACTGATACTTACAAGGCTGTTCAAAGTAGAATCAAGGATGAGAAAGACAGCATTTACAGAGTGCATGCATGCCATCAACTGCCAGAAACAACAGAGGAGGATTAGCGAAACACCGAAACCAAATAAACGTAACTGCAGATCAGAAATCAAATGTATGGGTTTTAGGGGCTAATTAAGATGTACAGCAAATTCAACTGAGCAATTTTAAGAAAGTGAACAACTTGTCTATAAGTTACTGCAGGTGCCAAGGCGATTAGGAAATGAAAAGAGGGGAAAAGGCATGAAACATCAGCAACTTCAATTCACTAGAGGCAAAAGCAACTAGGCACAATCCCCTTTGCTCTTCAGAAACAAGTATATCATATTAGCTAGCTTCTGGTGTGTCATCGGGGGATTACCAGTGAAAAGGACACAATAACAACAGCAGCTTGCTGTCTTTCTGTTTCAAAAGGGCTAAATCAAATTTCAAAGAATTAACTGGTAAAGGAAAACCAATCTCACAATGCTGGATAGAAAAACACACATGAAAATGGCTCAAAAAAGTAGAGAATTACAAAGTGTTCAACACATTGCTACTCACCATGGTGAGTTGAAAATGTTCACCGGACATAAATGGGAGTAAAAGGCACCAAAAAACTATATCTGTCAGCATGACTGCACCTGCACAAGTCTGTGTAGAAGTTTCAATCAGATGCGGGTACTGCTTTAGTAGAACAAATTCATGGAACCGAATGGAAATTTTAAGCAAGACAGATTACTAGAAGACAGTGTAAGTTCCCATGGCATATATGCATCTTAGAAATGTAGTAGAAAATTAACTCTGAAATTTTGTAATTTAGTTTTCACAGAAGCTGCTGCATTAGAGTTGTGCAACGGTATAGGTCTATCATCAGCTGCCGGCAAATATGTCAATATCTTATGACATACAGGAACACTATTGAGAGCAAATCTGAGATCAAGAGCCCCTCTAAAATCCCCAAAATCTGCATGACTACAAATCCAGGAAGCAAGGATAGAACAATAAAATACGTTGGCCATCGTAATTCAAAAGTTTGAAATACTGGAGGGTGCAAACTTAGACCTGCTTCTTGTGGTAGCCGAAAATTCGTTCCATTTCATTTCTTCTATATTATACAGTCATAGCCATGAAAAGCTCAAAGCAACATTGAAGGAAGATATCCAAATAAAAGGACATGACTTTTAAGCTTCCAGTAGGTTCCAGAGTCCTTCTTGCCCAAATGCTTCTACCACTCCAGATATATGTGATGGGACACAACTTCTAAAGCCAGGATAAACATTTGTTTTACTGTAAATGCATTAATCATTCATGTGTTTATGTAATTGTTCAGGATAACTCTGTTGCATCCGAACCATGCAAAAATCATAAATGAAGCATCTACTTTCCAAAACCGTTGCCTTTTCAACTCAGAACAGATACAAGAGTTCTCTTGATAAATGTTTCTAAGAAGCATTTCTTGTTTGTTTCATGCTGTAAGATGCCACCGATGCCAAGATACATATATATAATGAAGCTCTCCTTTCTGACATTGGAGACAGGGCTCAGCTCGCTCCTTAATCAGATGTTCTAGCCGAATCAGCTGGAAGAGTTGAGACGAAGACTGAAAGAAAAAAATATTTGAAGGATATAAAATTGGATATAACTCACGTAATATATGCATTGCATAAGAACTCCCCAGAAGCCAGGTTGTTGGTCAATGGGCACTTGGGCGTGACACTTGATGAAACCTCCATCATCTTGATTCATGATGGAAGTTGATGAGACGTATTCATCATTTTTAGATTCTTCCTCCAAGTTCTTCTTAAGAAGCTTGTCCTTATCTCCACTCTGAGCAAAGGGTGTCTTTGAGTGGATCCAGCATCCGTGGGCAGAGATTATGGTGGCCAGCTAGTAGTAACATAAAGAAAGCATTTGGGTGTGCGGGTGAAAATACGCATCAAACAAGGGAGAAATGCAGACAGTGTAACCAAAATTATCCGTATTACTTAGACTAGCTCGTAGTCGTATCTCCGAAAACCAGAAATTAAAAAAGGAGGCAGGGGCGATGTAAATACCGCAAAGTAGACAGCAACCAATGCAAAAGTCCACCTGCAGAAGCAAATAAAATAAAATATAATATAATAAAAAATGGAGGACAAATATCAGGTCTGAGACTTGTTGGGTTCGGTTCCAACGTCCAACTTCCAAGCGGTAGAAGTTGAAATGCTGTGCCGTCTGATGGTGGTTGGTAGTCGTTGAATATGGAAATACCGTTAAAAAATCAGAAAAATACTTGTTTGACACATTTTTTTTTTAATCTCTAGTCCTGGTCCTCCAGGAGAAGAGCTTATTTGAATTAACACTGAGTGCTATGCAAAGCCAAGAATAAATGATTCTTAATTAGAGTTGAATCACTAATAGTGTAAACGGAAGGGGAATAATGTCATAACAACCAACATACGTAAGGAAGGAAGGAAGGAAGGAATGAAGTGAAAAAGGAGTACTCCCAGCAAGTGAGATGGGTTGGAGTGTGGGGGGTTGGGTTGGGGGTGTGGAACAGTAGCCTAGTAAGGTAGGTAAAGAAGTAGTATACGTACTGGGTGTAGAAGAAGAAGATGAAAAATCCAAAGGCTCGGACGATCTGATAGAGGAAGAAAGTCATGGTAAGGAAGGCCAAGGCTCGATAGTAAAGAAGCCAAGTGGGATGGAGGGTTGTCCAGCAGGGGAGCCAGAGTTGACGATAAGTGGAGGCGCGGTGTCCCCGTTGTTGTTGTGATGGTGGTGGTGGTGTTCTTGTAGTTGATCTTGATTTGATGATGAGAATCATAGAGAGGAGGGCGGGGAGAAGGAAGATGAGTGCACAGACGAAGACTTGCCATCGGAGCCAGTAGTGATAGTAGTCGTCTGGGACTTGTTCTGCAGCAGCATCCTTCCCCATTATATTTCCGACCCCTCTCTCTCTCCCTCCCTCCTATCTCAGGCCTTGGCCGGGGGATGATGATTGTCCTTGTCGAGGAGGCGGTAATTGTGATGATTGAGCAGTTGACTACTCATGGGGCGCGGAAGGCCTTGCTCCTTTTGTTCCGGGAGGAATAGCCTCCCTTCACACTGCGGCAGCGGGTGGTTGGAGGTTCAATTCAGCACTTAATATTGATTTTAACATATTTAAATCATTTGATAATAAAAAATTAAACATTTAAATTAATTAAATGACACTAAATTACTCAAACAAAACTTATTCTCAAAATTGAATTCATATAGTTAATACCATTTTCTGAATTTAAGTTATGAAATTTGACTTGATAAATGTGAAACTCATATTTTGTTCACAAAATATTCGGGCGGTAATTTGGTTGGGTTTAGTCTAAACTTATTTATTACTTTTTTAATTTTTTTTAATATAATTACTATAACCATTAAGTTTCAATGCTAATTTGCTATAACCATTCATAGAATCACAATATTAAAACTGTACACGAACCAATAACAGTTTATTAAAATATATACAAACTAATAATTTTTTAATAATAATATATCCAATTAGTTTAAAAGTACATGAAAAATAGTAATAAAATATATGATTAATTCTTCCTACACTGACAGTGTTTACACTATCACCGTTGGATTCATGATATTTGTGCAAAAGTTAAAATATACATTTTAATTTTTGTACACATATCATGAATCCAACAGTGACAGTGTATAAACTTTCAGTGTATATAAGATTTACTCTAAAATATAATCAACAATAAATACATCTTCAAATGCCCTCAATTTGCTCCTACTAAGAATTGTATTCGAATCTTTTGACATAAGTATGTATATTTAATGGCCTTAGCTGGATTGTGATTTTCCATAGAAAATTTTTATGTTTTTCGTAAACAAATTTTTCAATCATCTTTTTACCTCACATACATCAAATCGTTACAGTATATTTTTTTCACAAAACTCATAAAATTAATAAATATATTTTGACATATAACTCATGAGTACAAAATATTAGTATTATATATTTAGATATATAATTATATATATGTATCAAAATATGAATATATTATATATAATTATATATATAGATGTAAATTAAAAGGTTGGGTGTATATCAGGTTTAAACCCACTACGATCCAAACTCGACTAATATTTAACTTAGATCTAATATTTAGATCCAAACTCAATCTAACTCAAAGTAAGGTTAAGTTTATCTTGGGTTAACCCGACCCATTAATAATACATAGCCCGACCCGACCTACCCCTTCTCCTCCACACCCAACAAAAAAATTGAATAAATGAAAAAAATTAAAAATGCTGGTACTGCTTACAGGAGGACTGAAGTGCGTCGTGGAAGTACCACGTGTTGAGAAAGGATAGGCGGGAGGAGGGCGCAGCAATTAGGGTTGGGCCTGGGCCAGCAGCGGCCACTCGTCGGCGAATCCCCATCCATCCATCAGTTTCCAGCAGCAGAGCCGGTATCCAACTCCAGGATTTCAGATTTCAGCGCCGCAGTTCACAGTTGGCCAACCGCCCAGCACCACCACCACCCCCCTTCCCCAAAAAAAAAGATCAACAGAAATGTCTGCGACTGCTGCTGTGTCCCTCTCCTTCTTAATCAGAACCCCCGTCTCGTCCTACCCCCTCCCTTGCTCGTCTAATTCAATTGCCATTCCACCACCACCACCATCATCATCTTTGACCAACTCACTACCGTCTTTTTCTGCTTATGATTCTTTCTCACCCTCATTCTCCTCATCTACTACTACATTGGCCACCACCGCTAGATGCATTGGAGTTTTCCATTCCCCCACTGCAATTCCTACTCCTACTACTAGAACAAGTCGAACAAGTCCAAGTGGTGGTATTAGTAGTAGAAGAAGAAGATACTCCTATTTTTACTACCGAAGGCAGAGGAATCCCACCTTTCCCCTCATCACCACACCTTCCATTTCGCCTCCTCCTTCCCCCCTCGTCGTCATGATGGAGTGGCAGGATTGCACGTACATCTTTCTTCCAATTCCCTAAACCCTCTCTCCTGTTTCCTTGTTTCATTTTTCTTTTCTTCTTAGTTGCCCTTTGCTGCTACACTACTCTTGTTGTGTTACTAGTCCTACCTAATTCATTTCATTTGCTGATAATTCTTTGTAATTCAAAACTCTTACTAACTACTACAGCTTTTTCCTCTTTTTTTAAACAAAAAGGAGAAGAAGAAGTACTGCTTCGTTTCTCATTTTCATTTGCACCTCCCCGCTTCTTATGACTTGCAAAATCATTTCCGGATAAAATGTTGCAGAGTTAAAATGGAAATAGACGTCCCAACTTCTGTCGCTTATACTTGTTATTCCGATCGCGAGGCTATTGCTCGATGGATGCCCTTCATTTCTTCAGTCAAGGTTCTCTACCCCCCCCCCCCCCTCTCTCCTTTTTTCCCTCCTTTTTCTCCTTTTTTTCTTATTTATTCGCACGTATTTATGTCATATTCTTCTCCTCTTGTAAATAGCCATGAAAGTTCCCCTCAACGCAGTTGAATTTTTGGTTTGATGTCAATAAAATTAGTAAATATGTAAATTAAGAATGCCTGTTAAATGTTCGTCATTCCGCTACTGCCCGTAGACGATTATCCTGATCCCAGTTGCTTCCTATTTCCCATATATTCTGATACATGCACAATTCTACCGATGTGAAACGTGATCTTCCTTTCTGTTTCTCAGATTCTGGAGGACAAGCCTGACCTATCTCGTTGGTCCCTCGAATACAAAGCATTTGGCCTCGATATTGAATTTTCTTGGCTTGCCAGAAACATGCAGGTAAACACCGTCCGAATGCCTTCCCATTTTTTTCGTCATTCTTTCTACTTCATTCACTATCATTCATGCTTTTTTCGGCGATGATATTCCCCTAAACTTATATGCAGCCAATTCCAAACCAGAAAATCCATTGGAGATCTCTGGATGGTCTCCCTAACAGGTATTTCTGAGATTGTCAGAATGATGGCCTAGTTTTAACAACTAATAAAGATGTGCCATTTTTTTTCTGAATTTTCAGGGGAGCTGTCAGATTTTATCCTAAAGGTGCTTCATCATGTAATGTAGAAGTAAGATTTCTTTAAACATATTCACCATGCATTTCAATCATTCAATGTTTAGTGCAGTTATATGCTGGCGTTGAATCTATTCGGGCTTAAAAACCAAAGTGCGATTAGAACAATAAAATGAATTAAAGCATGGAAAGAGCATATATTAGTGGAAAACAAGCACCTTAAGCATCTCTGAGTGTGAACCGTGAGAGTTTGAGTAGCTAATTGAGTGGGAAGGCATTGGATTTCAAATGGGATGCTTTTTAAGTTCAAAAGTGTTAACCCGTTAACCTGGTTTTGTGCATGTATTACTTGATACTTACCATGCGCGTGTTTTTTACCCTTCTGGTCGTTCAGTCCCTGAAGATCTATTGAGTTCCTTGACCTTAGTTCTTTCTTATGTCAGATGACTGTCTCATATGAAGTCCCTCAGCTGTTGATTCCAGTGGCATCCGTAAGCATTTAAACTTGATTACAGAACCCTATTCATAGCTTAGGTCAAAGGTCATATAGAGGAAATAACAGCTAAAGTTCAATGTGGATGAAGAGTAAATAACTTGACTATGCTTGCTGTACAATGATAAAAGTATTATACTAGAGATGGATCGAAGAGAAATAGACTTTAGAATTCCAATTTCGGCTGAATTTGATTCATTTGACGAATTTCTCTGATTCTATACATGTTCCAGGCTTTGCAACCTCTTCTTGAAAGTTTGCTGGTTCGTGGTTTAGAACGATTTGCAAAATTTGCTAAAGAATATTATTCTCGCAACCCAACTGTCTGACGTCTAATGTAATTTTTCAAGATTATTACTTTATGATGACAAACAATTATAGTTGTACTTTTAGTAATTGATTGAAGAAACAATGTCAAACTGGAGATGCTATCAATGTTTGTAAAGATTAAGTAGAAAGAAAGTGGAATCTTCTTTGCTGGAAGTCCAATACTCGCTTTTCTTGTTGCTTTACCTTTCTAATTGTAAGCGTTTGGGGATGGTTAGTCCTGATTTCTCATTTGGACGGTCACAGGGTCATTGCAGTTTGTTTGTACGTTTACAGAAGTTCTCAGACAAAGCTGTTGCATAACTTGTCTGTAAAAAATTATCCAAATGGAGGGATTGGGGCTGTTGCGGTTACAGGTTGCATCTTGCCTTTGACGGCCTAAAACAACTGAGCCGAGCTCAGACTGATTTAGGCTGTTGAAAATTACCAACCCATATCAGTCTGAGAAATGAATTTCAAATCGACGGTCCAGAACAGTGCGAACTCAGGTCGGCTTGGCTAATTTTGGCAGTTAAACGTTTTTGGCGGTGCAACTGCCGTGAACTCGGATCCCAAATGGAGCTACCAAGACAAGGCACCAAAGTATGACTGTGCATCACTCTTGGTGCATACAACAGGTGTTAGAGAGCTAGGGCAGTCAGCATGATTGCTTAATAATAGGCTCAACTTCTACTTTGGTGCCTATCCTTGCTTATCGCTTGAAATTTCAAAAGTTACATATACCTTCCTTCAAATCACCATTTGGGTAGCAAGAACAATTTAGTGATCAAAATTTTGAATGAATAATCCAAAATGTCCTCATGAAAATGTGAAGTTCATTTTATTTTTTCATAAAATTTTGGAACATATATAAATTCACAAATCCACTTTCAACATTATTACTACTAGTCTCTAAATTTGAAAATCTTAATTTAAACAAAAGAAAAAAATCAGCACTATTAAATTTTAAAACAATCACTAACTGCATTAATATAACATCCAATCCCTTAAATATTTGCCATCAAATTCATTATTGAAAGCCTTAGAGCAGTAGCACGCACCGGGGAGAGCAGCGGGGCAAATCCAAGTGTCTTTCATCTCAAACTAGGGATAATTTCAGAAACCTCCGGCTTATGACAATTTCACTGCCCTCCCTTGTGATTCTAAAAATATCACTAATTTCCTTTGAAACCAATTTTCTTGTAACAATTTAATCCAATTCACAAAAAGTAACAATAAAAAAATAATTTCATATGTGAGAAGATTTGTTTATGCCAAAAGTGCCCCTCAACTATTATATTACTATACATAGTCAATAAAAATTTTTATTATCCATAACAAAAAATAACAACTTCCAAAATTTAACAAAACTTTTTTTCCATACCTTAAGATTCTTGCTATCACCGCAATTATAAGAAAATTTAACTCAACTGAAATCTCTTTATATTTAATTCCTTTTATTTATCAAGTGCATAAATTGGAAAAAGAATGCCTAGTGTTGGATCCTCTTTAAATGCCAAATTAGTTTTTTTTTTTACATTTCAAATTATGGTTAATTTAGTTTGAAAACTGTTCAATTGTTTCTCAAGTCTAAATCCTTTAATTTATCAACTGCATTACGTCTAATTTCTTTTATTTGTAAGCATGTAAAAATTTAAAAAGATGCTCCAAATATTGGCTCTATGTTTAAATGGCAAATTAATTAACTTTTTACAATCTAAATCATGCTTAATGTAGTTAGCAAAATTTTAACTCTTTTCCTTCACATATATCTGTAATTATCCTAAATTATAAGGGTAATAAAGTCATTTAGCCATTAGTGATGTAAGTATTGGGTCTTAAATGACTGACAAAAGGGGAAGTAAGTAAAATTTTTAAAATCTTAGGAGAGAAAAATGAAATTGTCAAAAACCTCAAGAGAGGTTTCTGAAATTATCTCATTAAACTATTTATAACTATGACTATTTTTACTTTTAAGTATATATATTTTCAACATAACTATCCCTAAACATTATCAGCTACCAATCTAAATTTATTTTATAAAAAATATTTAAAAAATTAAATATTATTTCAGTAATAAAAATTTTATTTAAAATATATGACTATAATTATGTATTTTTTGATCGCACGCATTGGGTATGCATTGAATATTGGTGCCTAAAAATCAAGACAAAAAGGAATGGGATCCAATAAAACTACTGTTTAAAATTAGGCAAATCCCACCAAATTGCTAAATAGCAATTGCATTCTAGGACTACTTAGAGCTCGAGCTCGTTAGGCAAACGAGCTTTAAAATGTGTTCGAACTCGACTCATCAAATATACATGTGGCTCGAGCTCGACTCGTTTATCACTAACGAGTCGAGCTTGTACGAGCTCAAGTTCGTGCAAATTAACCTCAATAAAAATATATAATTTTCAATTTTTATACTTTTGACTTCTAAAATGATAAATATACCATTTATTAACGAGTTCTAACGAGCTACTCGGATATCAAACGAGCCGAGCTACTCGACTCGTTAACTCGGCTCGTTAACTAAACGAACACATTTCTAGTTCGAGCTCGGCTTGTTTACCGCAACTAGCGAGCCGAGCTCGAGCCTTATCAAGCCGAACTCTAACGAGCTTTCGAGCTATTCGTGAAGTTTAACAGCTCTCGAGAGCCAGGACTCAGGAACAGTGCAGTAATAGCAGATAGCGGCCGGAGGGGCGGGATGTCACATTGACTTGGCAAGTACCGGCCAGCGGCCGCTGTCAAAACACCTATAAACTACTACTAGTAAAAATTAATAAAAACCCCAAAAAAAAGGGATAATTTTAGAAACCTCCCCTGAGGTTTCTAACAGTCTCAAGGACCTCCCCTGAAGTTTCAAAAATTTCTTATACCTCCCCTAAAACTAAGTAGATAGTATCAGATTCAATCCAATTGAGGTGGACAATGAATATAAAATGTGTATCATTAGAGAGAAAATAAAGAAATTTCACCTCTGCCCTCGAGATTGTCATTAGTGAGGATGTTTGTTTGAAAATTTCAATGGAATCTTGTTCCTTTGAAATTTCAGGGGGTGTATGTGAAACTGATGAAAAAATGTAAGAATGTATTGCAAGAAATTGTTTTCTGCTTCATGTCAACGGCTCTCAAAGTAGTTGTTTGTAACAGAAAAAAGAAATAGTAGTGTTGCTTTGGAGCTCTATATAATTGCCTATTGGAGTTGTAAGAGAAAGCATTGGATGTTGTTGGGTTGTGGCTGAGATTTCTGCAAAAGTGCTCATACAACTATAAGCTGAACTACCTATAAACAGATACACATGGCTTCTTCAAGCTTGGTAGATTCATCGTGGAATTCTCCAACTTCATTTTCAATAAAAAATAGATATTGCCATTGTCATCGGAAAGCAAGCATTAAGATTTCTGAGAGAAGGAGGAATCCAAACAAGCTCTATTTCTGCTGGTCAAATTACAAATTCTTTCAGTGATTCGAAGGGCCTGAAGAAGGTGAAGTGAGCAGCCAAAGAACAGATCAACGTTCAAGCATGCAAAAGGAGGATAAGATACAGTTTGCCAAAGTAGAGCAGTTGAACTCCATTGTGAAATGACTGCTTATAATGAACCTGTTATTCATAGATATTTACATTTTGTTGTTAATATTGTTTGAGTGGTTCGAAGGGTCTGAATATGGTGAAGTGAGCAGGCAAAGAGCAGAAAGACATTCAATCATGCAAAGAGGTGATCAAGTGCAGAATTTGAATGCTATCCAGATCAACTCCACAGTGAAATTGATGCTTATAATGAACCTTGTATTTTTAGCTGTCTATGTTGTTATGTTGATTGTAAAAGAGATCAAATGAGTATTGGTTTATAATAGTAAAGAACCAAATTCATTATTATGTGCTTCCAATTTTGCTTATTGAATACCACATGACAGATTACACAAAAACACAGTGTACAAGTAATAGTGCAAATGAAACTTCAGTTTCTGTTGAGAAGCATTTCATACTACTTAGTTGCAGCAATACAAAAGGTTTGAGTGGGGTGGAATTTATATGTACAACAGCCAAATGTTTCCACTCATGCATCCAGATTGATACAAAAAGATAAATTTCTCCAATGTCGACAACTAATGATCAGATATTCATGTCATTTGATATCCAAATAACAAAAGACTCTTAATCAGATTCTACTAAAAGGTGAAGCTGCTAGTGACATTGTGAGAATCATGAGAAACTGAAACATTGATGTTGACATCAGTTTGTACTTGGGCACTTCCACTGGGATGTAGTGCAGCAGTATGCATTACTGCAATTGGTTGAGGTTCTGGTGTTGAAGTTCTCCTTTTAGGGTTATATACAGCAGATGAAGCAGGTTTGTTGGAAGGTCATCCTCTCTAAAATTTTGGTCGAAGCATGTATTAATATACAGGCATGTAAATAAGTATTAAAAGTGCAGCTATGATGTAAAAGGGATTAAGGAACAAATACCTTTCTTTTAGTAGCATTGGTTACTGTTTGCAAATTCAAGTCAGCATTCATTAATGGTGATTGAGTTGATGGACTTGGGTTGCTGCCTTGACTAGAAACCACAATAGGCACATTGCCATCAGCATGATCCTGCACAAATCACCTATGCATTAGCTCATCAGACATTGTCATCATACGAAAAGAATTGTATGTGAATCTAAAAGAATTGTAACCCATAGAACAGATCCTGCAAGCCCTGTATTTGCAATTCCCCTTTCTGGCTTTCCTTTAGCAAATTGAGTTACCTGACATGAAAATTGATAACAAATTACAAGCTCGCTTAGCAATTTCAATGCTGTCATTTAAATCACTAGACTGAACCTTGTTTGTGCCACTGGTGCTTGTACTTCTTTGTCTCAGAGGTGCTCTTTGACATGTTATAGTATTATGTCTAGTAGTTTTGCAGTTACCACATCTCATAGTGGTTGACCTTTTTGTTTGAGATTGGCTTGGCTCATCAAGCCCTCTCATTCTATTAACTCTTGGATGACCTGGAGCTCTTCTCAATGGTAGTGGAAGGACAGTTTTTGGTGTGACATCAATTAATAGAAGCCATCTCTTCTCGTGAGGAATTGGATGTATCATGCCACTGTATGTCTTGAGATACATTTCTGTTGAGAAGCAAGGATCACAGTATATCTTCAATTTCTGTCTTCTGTATATAATTCCAAGTGCAGCATGCTTGCATGGGAGTCCAGACAATTGGAAAGCTCCACAGTCACATGTCTTCTGCTTCAAACTCACTATAAATGCTCTGTCACCATCAATAACTTCAAACAAATCCTCACTGGCCATCTGCAATTAACATCTCCTAGAATGTATTGCAATTTCATTGAGCTTTTCTATGATATTTTTTGGGATAGTAGACGTCCATGTGCAAGCATTCTGCTATCTTTTGTGTAATTTCTTCATAAATTTTTTCCTTAGACCTTCAACAAGTGTCAGTATTGGTTGACCCCTTAAATCTCCAATCCAAGCATTGAAGGATTCCGTGAAGTTGTTTGTGACATGGTCACATTTCATTTCTATTGAGAATGCATGTCTAGCCCAAGCAGAAACTGGAATCTTGGATAAGTACCTCCATGCTTCTATATTCATGTCCTTGATTCTCTGCATTGTTTCATTAAATCCAATTGCATCATAACTTTTAGCAGCTTGCCAAAAGAAGCTAGTCAGCAACATTCCAGGAAACTGAGACCTGAAGTTACTGTAAATATGTCTGCAACAGTATCTTCCAATTGCAAATGACAGCAGCTGTTCATATGCAAACTTCAGCCCCTACATGAAAATCAAAAACCAGTCAGCAGTTTTTACCATATCTACACAGCAGGTTATCCAAATTTTATCAAGTTCAGTGTTTAATAATACCTTTTATCTATCACTCATGACAGTTAAGGGAGAATTGTTATGGAATGGTTCAAAAAAATTTTCAAAGAAATGAAAGAACCAACTCCAAGTCTCTCTTTTTTCTACATTAACAATAGCAAATGCAATGGAAAATATGCTGTTATTAGCATCCAATGTAACAGCAGTCAGCAATACTCCACCAAAACTACCTTTCAAATGACATCCATCAAATCTAACAAATGATCTACAACCAACTAAAAATCCATCTTTCTGTCCTTTAAAGCTAATAAAAAGTCTCAGGAACCTTGGTTCAACTAGTAGATTTGATCTGTCATAATGAATCTTACAAATACTACCAGGATTATGTTGCCTTAGAAGCACATCATATTTTGGCAGTTTACTATATGATTCTGAATGTGTGCTTTCAATCTCTTCTCTTGCCTTTTGTTTGGCTCTATACACTTGCTGTATGCTAGGATGCACACCATATTTTAGCATTTCAACTTCAATGTCCTTTTTTGACAAGTGCGGATGGGTTCTCATCACAGCTAGCAGTTTCTTGGCCATCCAGTCAGAGGTGGTCTCACGATTTTTGTTATCCATCACACATGTGTGTTCAGGTGTGTATGTCTTAATCATAAATATTACTGAATCAGCTATAGGGGACGCATGAATCCTCCATGTACATCCAGCAACATCACAGATTGCAGTACACCTGATTTTCTCATTCTTCAGCCTTTTGATGGGAAATTCTTTTTGGATCACATAATCCTTTAGTGCTGCTCTAAAGGCATCAACATTAGTGAATAGTTGTCCCTTCTTGAATTCTATGTCCTCCCTTGGATTGTAAGTCCACATCTTGTTTCTTAGCACTTCTTTTAAAGGGTCAATTTCTTGCTCAGATTCAGAATCTGGTACAATTTCACCAGTTTCATTATCATAAAAGTTTTGAAAATCTTCATCACTGCTAGAAATCTCAGACAGAACCATTAGCTCACCACCTATATCATCTTCATTGTCATCATCAAATCCTTGCTACCATGATTCATCAGAGCTAGATTCACCCCCATACCCCTCATCTTGACTGTCAATAACATGAACATTCTGCTCATCATCAGCCAAGGCAGAATGTTTGTTCTGAATTTCTGTGTACTCATGGTCACAACAGTCAATCTTCTTTCTGTTCAACAACATGGTAGGTTGTTCAGCTAGGATAATATTAATAACACAAGTAGACACGCAGAGCTAATGTAGGAAAATAAGAAGACATGCTCAGTTTTCTCACAGTCAGTAACCTCTTCATCAGCCATAAGCTACGTAGTATCTAACCTTGCTTTGCTTCAAATGCTCTCAGAACAGCAATATTTCACCCTTTGCAGCAATACTTCACCTCAATTTCTTCAACTCTCCCGCTTCTCCTGGAGTTCTCAAATGTTCTTTTCATTCTCAACATGGCTCATGAAGGTCTATTCCTCATCAAAATTAACGATCAGTCAGCTCTCATTGTCATATCAACAACCAAATGGGCGCCCATTTTTGGCGCCTTTTCTCTTAACCGAAATTAGCAATTCATTTTGCATCCAAATTCCAGTTAAGTTAATTAATCCTATGTATTACTCATTTCACTAATTAATTCATGTTATTATCAGAATATATTACTTCAACAGCAGGGATATTTCTGTCAATTCAACATCTACGATGTCATTTTGGAGCCCAATAATCTGACAGGGAATGTGTAAGGAATTTTCGGAACTTCAGGGGGGTCCTTGAGACTGTCAGAAACCTCAGGGGAGGTTTCTGAAATTATCCCAAAAAAAAAAATCCTACTGCGACTGCCACTAGTACACACCAATGCTTTGCTTGGTTTCTCCTCACCTCAATTTCAATCTCCGAAAGAAGAAAGAAAGAAAGACAAGTTCAAGCTTGTTGCTGGTGGCTTTAAGCCTTTGACGCCATCCTGCTTTGAATTTCCCCTCATTAGGTTTGAGTTTTTAGATATGGATCGCAGCAGCACCTTCAGTATCTGTTGCTACGTTTCCCCCATATTTGGTTTAGTCCTGTAAATGCACCACCGCCACCAGATCGCCGCTTCTTTTAATGCCCGCCCCGAGTGAGTCTCTCTCTCTCTATCTCTCACAGAGCGAGCCAAACACCCCCCCCCCCCCCCCCCCCCCAAAAAATCCCAAATGCCCATCCGGCTTTTCTCATTTTCAACATCCCACCCGTGTTTTTCTTCCATTTTTCACTTGCTTTGTCTAATAATTTCTATGCTATGATTAACGTTGCTGATTGGAATGTTTCTCCCCTACTACTGGCCTTACTACTACTACCCCGAATTTTTTTCCTTAAAATACGAAAATAATATATCCAAAATTTTTCTAGGGTTTGCTTTCTCACTCCCTATCAATTCCAATTACTAGCATTGTTATGCAGTATAAGATGAAAGGTAGAAAGAGTGTTGACAAATGAATTTACGTCCCCTAGAAAGTAACTACTCCAAGTTGTAAATACTCTGATCCCTTCCAGCTTTTTCTATACAAATTTTTTTTTTAATTTCAAAATTTTCCCAAATCACGGCAACCATTACTACGGGCACCGTTTTGTACTGACCTCTTTGATCTGCCATGGATTTCTTGCACGGAGCAACTCTTTTTAATACACACCTTCTGTCGTCAGGATCTGAAGCTGGCAAGTTTGTAGTTAAAATGATTCATACAATAGTAGCAGCTTGTTTCCATGCTTTTACGAGCGTTTGTGTGCTGGATTCATGTATGCTGTTTTAGAGTTTCATTTGCTGCTCCAGCACAGGACGCGTGCGATTTTCTTTTTCTTTCTTCTTTTCATGTTGAGAGATTAAACCTCTCGTGATCCCCTCCAACTACAACCCCCCCCCCCTCCCCCCAAACAAACAAAAACACCGCCCACAAGCAAACCCCTTTCAAAGCAAATACCTGTGAGTATTTTGTAGAGTCTTGCACTTCTGCTAATTGATTCGGTCAACAAATTCTTGACAGGAGCTTTCTTGATTCTTCTTCTCCATTCAGGCCCCTTCAGTCCTAACAAATGACTGCCATAACTGCTGCTTCTGCCATTAGAGATACCACTGCTCTTATTAGATTACCTCAAGAGATGAATGACCTCAGAATCAGCGACGATAAGGTACGATTTTCGTATCCTCGTCTCTCAATTTTGTTTTTAGCTCTTTTGGCATTGGATTTCTTTTCATCATGATCTTACACCTTCCAGTATAAATCATTTCTTTTTTTTTTTTATTTTCCATCTAGGAAATGGAAGCAACTGTCATTAATGGTAATGGAACAGAGGCTGGACATATAATTGTGACCACTGTTGGGGGTAAGAATGGCCAGCCAAAGCAGGTGAGAATTTTTGTCTCTTTTTTCCTGCTACAAGACGGCGCCTTATGAGCGCGGATTGTATGTTGAGATAGTTATGCCTTTCTGTGCTAGACAATCAGCTATATGGCTGAGCGTGCTGTTGGCCAAGGATCCTTCGGAGTAGTTTTCCAGGTTAGTTACCTCCTCAGCGTTCCATTGATATGCATTTTCTAGTGGAGGGAAATACTGGCGCTAGATAATGCAGCACAGTGGCGGAGCCACATGTAAACAAGTGGGGCCAATGGACACCAGTTCATTTTGGGAAAATTAACTTTTAAGCTTAGAAAATTTAAAAGTTTTTAAAGTTGCATTTTATTTGCTCCCACTAAATTTTATCAAATTCTCTTTTCTATCTACATTGACTCCCAAATAATTGAAAGTTCATAATTGTCACCGTTAGAAGAATTTTGGATTTACTTAAAATTAATTGTGGAACCTAAATATCTTTGTAGTCAAATTTGTTTGATTATTTTAACAAATTTGAGATTGTGTTCAATTTTGTTTATCAAGCCGAGCTCGAACAACTTTTTATCGAGTTGAGCTTTAGTAGCTTGAATATTTCCAATTGTATGGTAATCAAGCTAAGCTCGAGTCGAGTTAAAAAATTGACCAAACATAAAATACTATTCGTAATTGATTTGATAATTCGCGGACCAAATTCGAATGAACTCTTACTGAACCAAACTAAATTTGAGTATTGAGTAGATTGTTTGGTCTTTCAGTCCCAATTTCATTCCATGGTGCTGTCAGAGATTGAAGCCCCTTACTCTAGGGTCTTGGCTCCACCACAGATGCCGCATTCTTATGTCGTTTAATTCCCTCTGACTTTCTGGTATTTGTGGTTTTACAGGCAAAATGCTTAGAGACTGGTGAAACTGTTGCAATAAAGAAGGTTCTTCAAGATAAGAGATACAAGAACCGGGAGTTACAAACTATGCGTTTACTGGACCACCCTAATGTCGTTTCCTTGAAGCACTGCTTCTTTTCAACCACCGAAAAGAAAGAGCTTTTCCTCAACTTAGTGGTGGAGTATGTCCCTGAGACTGTTCATCGCGTTATAAAACATTATAGCAAGATGAGCCAGAGGATGCCGACAATTTATGTCAAGTTGTACACTTATCAGGCATGTATTTGGCCTGTGTATCAGATGTTGATATTCTGTTTTCAGCTTAATTGTTCCAATTAAGTCTTTCTCGTGTTTTGTGCTGAAAGTTCTACTTATTGCTGTGAGCTTTTGTGTAGATTTTCAGAGCACTGGCCTACATCCATGGGGTTATTGGAGTATGCCATAGGGATATTAAACCTCAAAATCTTTTGGTAAGTGTATAAGTGTACTCAATACATATTACATATTTAGTTTGTTCTTATTTGTCTGTGTTCTCTTGGAAATTATGGTTACTTTCATTGTGGAGCGAATTATCGCCATCATGGTCAAACATTTGTATGCAGGAACTAAACTTGTCTTTACATCACTTTGCTTGATGATGTTGTAGTAATAACCTTAGATTTTGTTAATGAGTGTTTGTTTGCAGTGAACCTAATGGCATGGCACGCAAAATCCTTATGAACTTTTAATTATTTAATTCTTGGGGCTTTTATTTGTAAGAGAGATGTCAAAGTTTGCAGTGATTCTTTTCATTTGCAGGTTAATCCACATACTCACCAAGTCAAATTATGCGATTTTGGAAGTGCAAAAGTGCTGGTTTGTATCTGCTTCAAAGTTTCCATCTGATAAATGAATATTGTCTTATCTTGCCTCTGTTCTTGAATCAGTTGATTTTATAATCTGCTCAATGTGCAGGTAAAAGGTGAGCCCAATATTTCCTACATTTGCTCTAGGTTCTATCGGGCACCTGAACTAATATTTGGTGCGACTGAGTACACTACTGCAATCGACATTTGGTCCACTGGATGTGTTTTGGCTGAATTATTGCTTGGACAGGTAGACGTCATAATTGTCGTCTTCTTCTTCTTTTTCTCTTCTTCTTTTACAGGGTTTTGTTTTAATTCTATTTAAGATGTGTTTGTGCAACTTTCAGCCTCTCTTTCCTGGTGAAAGTGGAGTTGATCAGCTTGTGGAAATCATAAAGGTGCGTAGTATTTAGTTGTCAAGGCCATATCAACCATGGAGGTATTCTCCTATCCCCATTTGATGAGTACGAGGTGTTTCAAGATTATTATTGTTAATAAAACCTGACATGTTGGCCATTATTGGTAGAGTTGCTATTGTAGTTGCTAGTCACATTTTCTGGTATATGCTGCTTTTACCGGTGTAGGATGGATTTTGTGTTTTAATTACTTGGTATGAGACTAGGACGTGCTTGCTCATGTGCAGGTTTTGGGAACCCCAACTAGGGAGGAAATCAAATGTATGAATCCCAACTACACAGAGTTTAAATTTCCTCAAATCAAGGCACACCCATGGCACAAGGTAAGAAGGATATAGTCACATGCCTCCTGTGTTGTCTTTAGAACTTGTTTTGCTTGTATTCCTTCAATTTACAGGTTGCTCATCTTTGTAGATATTCCACAAGCGCATGCCTCCTGAAGCTGTGGACCTTGTTTCAAGGCTATTGCAGTATTCTCCAAGTCTAC